TGCGTGAATGAACAGTGAGAGGAAAGGGGTCAATCAACGAGTGCATAAATTAATAAACATCAAAGAGATAACCGGATTAAAATGACAAAGACGTCTGTTTGTAAAACATGAGTAACTTTAATAAGATGGAAACAAGTAACTTATCTCGTGGTACGAGATTAATGAAGAGTTCCGCGCCAAAATAGGAATGCAAGATGAACAAGGCGGGAAAAAAGAATTTAAAGGTTCTGGAAAAAAACTCGTTAAACACGAGGTGTATGTGCGCACAGATAGAAAGGAGTACTCCTGTGGATTTTTTTTTTTGACGTTGTAAAAATTCAGTGTATTTTTTGTGTTCAGGTTCATAGTTAGAAAGAATGTTCGGTCGTCTCAGAGTTTTTGGTGAGGCATTGAATTGGCTGCTGGAAATTTTACCGGAATGATGTGGGCATCTAGCCAGGAGAAACGAAGAATGTTTGAAGCGAGTTTTTCATGGTCTTGTGGAGTTGTTTACGGCGAGCCCAGAGAGACGAAAAATGTTTGTTCGTAAGTAAGAATATCCCTGTCTGTATTTACTGGTTCACTGACGAGGGGTAAGTGTAAAAGTCACCTGTTGAACACGAAGTTTTGCCCACGACTGTGTCGTGTGTCTCATTACATTTTCTAGCAGAAAACGGAGACGGTCTGACCTGCGGATATAAATATGTTCGTCAGTAGGATATCCCTGTCTGTATTTACGATTGACTGACGAGGGATAAAAATAAGCCACTTGTTGAATACGAAGTTTTGCTCACGACTGTGTCGTGTGTCTCGAACGTCTTCTGGTCTAAAACGGAAAGGTCTGACCTGCGGGCAGCTTCAAGACGAGAAGAAGTCTTGGTAAAGTGTGAAGTCGACATTGTTGAGATAAGATATTCCGGCCCGCATATGGGTTAAACTGCACGGAATAAATGAGTTGCCCGTCTAGTTAGGTCGAAATTCGGAAGGCAACTGGTTGACCTGCGGGTAACGTCAAGACGAGAAAAAGTCTTGGTAAAGTGTGAGGTCGCCATTGTTGAAATAAGATATTCCGGCCCGCATATGGGTTAAGGGCACGGAATAAATGAGTTGCCCGTCTAGTTAGGTCGAAAGTCGGAAGGCAACTGGCTTGCAAACGCTGGCCGTTTTTGACGCCGCGAAACGCGCGGGAAAAAATTCAAAATCTATTAGTCTGACTTCATCCGGAGGAGCTAGCGAAGTTCTTCCTCAGGTCACTGCTACGTCTAGCTGTGAGAGGAAGGAAGGGGTGAAAACCGCGCGCACACACGCACGAGTGTGAAAGGAAGGGAGGAAACTCGCGCGCGCGTAAAATATAGATGGAGTTAATTCCATAGAATACCGTGTTCGAATTTGGAAAACTAAATCTATTATTTTTCAACCTTTAGCCTACAACTTCGTTTGACTGAGACATGTAGTTACTCAGTGTTATGGGAACTTACCCATAATAATAATGGACTATTCCTGACATTATAAATACTGCGCCTCTCAAGTGGTATGAGGAGTTTGTCAGACGAGGATGAGATAATTATAGTAATCATGGACAGAACATACTATAAAACAAAAATTCTAGAAACACTAGAGGATAGGAACAGCTACAAAGTAATTGACACTAACATAGACAAAAACATTATAACAAAAATTACAAAAATCTGCACAACACATAATAAAATATTAACAAAAAAAGAGAAGGATTTCCTAATAAACTTTGTACCAAAAACAAGTAATTTCTACGGACTACCTAAAGTTCATAAATCGAGTGAAATAAAAGCAGCTATACATACACAAAGTGAAATTATGTAAAACAAAGTATAATATTTTTTCTCAATAAATCCACATTACAACCAAAAACGTTTGCGGCACCCCTCTTCTTTTTAATATACATACTTTTCTCTCGTTGGAACCACTACAACATATTTCTTTTATATATATATATATATATATATATGTGTGTGTGTGTGTGTGTGTGTGTGTGTGTGTGTGTGTGTGTGTAAAAATATATAGAAAATAGAAAAGAATTCGTTAGGTAAATAATCCAAAGCTCTTTAGTATTTTTATAGTGCTCGATACAAAAGTAGAGCATAAATATAATTATTTATTTAAAAATATGTAACTGAGATATTGATACAAATTATTAACCCTTACGCCCCTTTTCTTTAAACAATTATAAAACGCGTAAATTTCAGGAATAAGTTATTCCCAAAAAAATTTCGCTCGAAGATGGAACTGAGCTTGGTACTTTAATTCAATTTAATTCAAATAATTATATTGAAGTTTTCGGCTCTTGTTTTGAAACATGAGAACTCTTATGTAGCGTGTTGGAATCATATTTTTAAATAAATAATTATATATATATATATATATATATATATATATATATATCAGAAACGTTTCGTCTAGGTAGGCAAGGTAGGCAGTGCCTATCCTGAATAAAATAGAGCAGCAGTTAAATTTTTCCTTCTATGGCACTATATGCACCTAATCCAACAAACTTTCAACTGATGAAAAATTCGTCAGGCTTATTCAACCTCGGTGTAGACTAAGTTCATGTCGGAATTAGAAATTTAAATGTGACAGCTACAAAAAATAAAATAAAAAACAAAACAAAAAAACAAACAAACAAAAAAAAAAACAAAAACAAAAACTCACAAAACTAATCCAGAATTTATCTATTTCAATGTTTCAGTCAGACGAAAGGCAAGAGACAGTGTCAAGGAAGGGCGAAGTTATTTGCCTTAAACAGAAGAGGTTTTATAAAATTAAAATTCTCTTACTTTGACAGTTTATAAGGAGTAAGGGAAACCGAACGCTTTTAGTGAATAGTAAGGATACCATGGGCCTAACATGTGAGGTTTTGGAGAGAATGGAAACAAAGACAAAACTTATACTTAACATCAGGAAGAGGCAGCTGAAATTTCTAGGACACTTAATGAGGAAGGGAGGCTTGGAAAATCTAATACTCACGGGAGAGATTGAGAGAAAGAGAGACAAAGGAAAGCACTGTCTAACATAATTGAAGGCCTTGAGCAAATGAATCGTAGAACAGGCTTTGGGAGAAATAACAAAAACAAAATTTTCTTGGTTCAAAGGAAGAGGCAGTTGCAATTTCTGGGCTACTTAATAAGGAAGGAGGGCTTGGAAAATCTGATGCTCACAGGACAGATTGAGGGAAAGAGAGACAGACGAAAGTAGTGTGTAACATACTTCAAGGGCTTGAGCAAATGAATATTAGAACAGACAAAATATTGCTGATTTGAAGGAAAACAATCCAAGCTGACATAGATAATAATTATTACCATTGTAGGAAACAAAAAAGAAAGTTATGCTTAACATCAGGAAGAGGCAGTTGAAATTTCTGGGACACTTAATAAGGAAGGAGGGCTTGGAAAATCTGATACTCACAGGACGGATAGAGGGAAAGAGAGACAGAGGAAAGCAGCGCGTAAATACTTGATGGGCTTCAGCAAATGGATGTCGGAACTGGGTTTGGGAGAAATAACAAAAATCCAAGACTTATCAAGAGCTACAGGAGACAGGAAGATGTGGAGGGCCATGATCGTCTACCTCCTAAAGGGACACGCTACATAAAAGAAGAAGATGAGTTACTGTTATAGTAATTTACCCACGCACGCATGGACTCTCCCAGCTATAAATAGGAGCAGGTACTGCCTTTTGGAGAGGGAATGTTCCACTAGTTAGCTCTGACAGTCGGACCGAACATTCTTGCTTAACCCTTTCGTTTATATATGTTTGTATTACTGTTTGTGTTAATATATGTGTTTAAATCAATGCCTCCCTTTGTGTCATTATTTCTGGCCCTAATAAGGCCGCAACACCCTCTCCCTGTTACAAATGTGTGTGTGTGTGCGACTAGACTAAGATTGATAGATAGATAGATAGAAATGAAAAGAACATAGATAGATAGATAGATAGATAGATAGATATGAACAGATAAATAGAAAAGAAAAAAAAACTAGATAGATAGATAAATAGATATGAACAATTTCAGAGATACGAACAGACTGAGATAGATAGATAGATAGATAGATAGATAGTGTTATAGTAATTTACCTACGCAAGCATGGACTCTCCCAGCTATAAATAGGAGCAGGTACTGCCTTTTAGAGAGGAAAGTTTCCAGCTGTCAGATCTGAAAGTCGGACCGAACATTCTTGCTTAACACTTTCGTTTGTATATGTTTTGTATTACTGTTTGTGTTAATATATTTGTTCAACTCAATTCCTCTCTTTGTGTCTTTATTTCGGGCCCTAACAAGGCCACAACAGTTACATTGAAAGGAATTATTTAAATCCAGATTAAATAAATGTAATGGTGAAACGTTCGGCATTTATTGTCCAAATTCTTAATTGTGTCTACGTCTGTGGACAGCACGCAACTGAAAAATATTACTGAAATGTACCCGGACCCCGTAAAAACATGCCCCCCAGCAGAATCTCTCTCATTGTACTAAAGCGTGTGGGAGGTCGGTAGTAATACCCATGCTAACATAACTGACGGTTGCAGAATGTGAGCTATTTTTGGACCTGGCCCGGGTGCACGCGCTCGGGTTCCCCTTATTAAACTGACCTTGTCTCTCATCCTGCCAGAACGGGTCTGCAAGTAAATACAATCGCTTCTCGACCTTTTGGCTAAGATCGAAGTGTAGTATCTGTTCTTATCAGCTTAATCTGATTCTCTCTCTCTCTCTCTCTCTCTCTCTCCACTGCCATCTCCCCTTCCTTCTCTTTTTTTATTTTCTTAGTGAAACCAAATAGTGTCTTTTCCTCTCATTTCATACGGTGAAAAACGGAACAGTCTATTATTAATCAGTTGTTGGCAGGGCGTAACGGTCGTGCGAACTGACGAAGGGAGAGACAAGCACAATTGCAATAGGATTCTCAAGTAAATATTTTCGTTTTGCAGTATCTTACAGCGCTGGACCAAAGTGTCCCTAACGAAAACCCTCATTTAATCTAAGGTTTTGTATGTGTCTGTCTAATCTAGACTCCCGTCTAGGTTCAGATTCCTCCCTGACCTTTTTGTAAAGGTTTATCCCTTGTCTCCTGTTCAGAATGGTGGTTTCGCTTTCATCTAAAGTCTACCTTAGTTCTATCATTCTATCGTCTCCGCTTGAACTCTGAAATTATTTATTTATTTGCTTATTTTGTTATTTTTTTCTCCTCAACAGGTGTAGACAGGTGAGACTATGACCCGGTTCATACTCCTCCCCGATCTTTCGAACAGTAGTAGAGGTTTATCTCTTGTTCCCTGATTTCCATTTAGTTTCTGGTTCTTTCTAAAGTCTTTTCATTCTTTTTTCTCCCAGTAGCAAGATTTCCATTAGTTTCTGGTTCTTTCTAAAAAAGATTTCAAATTTTTTCTCTCCCAGTAGGCAAAGAAACATCCATTTAGTTTCTGGTTCTTTTTTCATTCTCTTTTTCCCAAAGAGATTTCTATTTTTTCTGGTTCTTTTCTAAAGTCTTTTTTTTCTCTTTCTCTCCCAGTAGTGGAGATTTCTATTTAGTTTCTGGTTCTTTCTAAAGTCTTTTTCATTCTCTTTCTCTCCCCAGTCAATATTTCCTTCCATTTAGTTTCTGGTTCTTTCTAAAGTCTTTTTTTCATTCTCTTTCTCTCCCAGTCTTGGAGATTTCCATTTAGTTTCTGGTTCTTTCTAAAGTCTTTTTCATTCTCTTTCTCTCCAGTCAAATTATTTTCATTTTAGTTTCTGGTTCTTTCTAAAGTCTTTTTTCATTCTCTTTATCTCCCAGTAGTGGAGATTTCCATTTAGTTTCTGGTTCTTTCTTTCTTTTCATTCTCTTTCTCTCCCAGTAGTGGAATTTCATTTATTTTCTCTTTCTTTCTCTTCTTCATTCTTTTCTTTTTTCTCTTTTTCTCTTCTCTTTCTTTTTTTTTCCCAGTAGTGGAATTTTCCATTTAATTTTCTGGTTCTTTTCTAAAGTCTTTTTTTTCTCTTTCTTTCCCCGTCTTTCAGTCTGCTTCCATTGTAGTTTCTGGTTCTTTCTTTAGTCTTTTTCACCATCTTTCATTCTCCCAGTTCTTTCTTCTTTCCATTTAGTTTCTTTCTTTCTAAAGTCTTTTTCATTCTCAGTCTCTCCCAGTAGTGGAGATTTCCATTTAGTTTCTGGTTCTTTCTAAAGTCTTTTTTTATTGTCTCTTTTTCTCCCAGTAGTGGAATTATTTTTTCATTTAGTTTCTGGTTCTTTCTAAAGTCTTTTTTCTTCTCTCTTTCTCTCCCAGTTCGTTCATTTTCCATTTAGTTTCTGGTTCTTTCTAAAGTCTTTTCATTCTCTTTAACTCCCAGTAGTTAGTAGCATTTCCATTTAGTTTCTGGTTCTTTCTAAAGTCTTTTTCATTCTCTTTCTCTCCCAGTCGTGGAGATTTCCATTTAGTTTCTGGTTCTTTTCTAAAGTCTTTTTTCATTCTCTTTCTTTCCCAGCATTGGAGATTTCCATTTAGTTTCTGGTTCTTTCTTCATTGTCCATTCTCTTTCTCTCAGTAGTGGAAATTTCCATTTTTTCTTTGTTCTTTTTAAAGTCATTCATTCTCTTTATCTCCCAGAAGTCTGTTTTTTCATTTAGTTTCTGGTTCTTTCTCAAAAGTCTTTTTCATTCTCTTTCTCTCAGTAGTGGAATTTCCATTTTCTTTCTGGTTCTTTCTAAAGTCTTTCATTGTCCTTCTCCTTCAAACTGTTTTCTTTAACATTTTTCTCTTTTCATTCTCTTTCTCCCAGTCGGAGATTTCCATTTATCTTCTGGTTCTTTTCTAAAGTCTTTTCATTCTCTTTCTCTCCCAGTCTTGGAGATTTCTGCTTTCATAGTTTCTGGTTCTTTCTAAAGTCTTTTTCATTCTCTTTCTCTCCCAGTAGTGGAGATTTTCATTTCCTTTCTGGTTCTTTCTAAAGTCTTTTCATTCTCTTTCTCTCCCAGTAGTAGTAGGAGATTTCATTTAGAAAAAAGTTCTTTCTAAAGTCTTTTCTTCTTCTTCCTAAAGTCTTTTTTTCATTTCTGGTTCTTTCTTAAATATAATTTTTCAACCATCTTTCTCTCCTTGAACTCTGTTCCATTTCCATTTCTGGTTCTTTCTAAAGTCTTTTTCATTCTCTTTCTCTTTCTCTTCCATTTCTAGCAGTTTCTGGTTTCCATTTAACTCTCATTCTTTCTGGTTTCTTTTATTCTGGTAAGTCTTTTTTTCATTCTCTTTTTTCTCCCAGTCTGGAGATTTCCATTTTAGTTTCTGGTTCTTTCTAAAGTCTTTTTTCATTCTCTTTCTCTCTGTTCTTCATTGTCCATTCTAAAATGGTTCCATTTAAAGTTTTTTTTTCAATTTTCTAAAGTCTGTCTTTTTCTAATTTGAATCTTTTTCAAAACTGTTCAATGTCTCTCTCTTCCTTTAAATGCATTTAGTTTCTGGTTCTTTCTTCTGTCTTTTCATTCTCTTTCTTTCCCAGTAGTGGAGATTTCCATTTAATTTCTCTGGTTCTTTCTAAAGTTTTTTCATTCTCTTTCTCTCCCAGTCATGGAGATTTCCATTTTAGTTTCTGGTTCTTTCTAAATTCTTTTTCATTCCTCTTCTCTCCCATCCTGGAAAGTTTCCATTTAATAGTTTTTTTCTGGTTCTTTTTTAAAGTATTTTTTTTATTTATTTTCTTCTTTTCTATTCTTCATTTCTCTCCCAGTCAGGAGAATTCCATTTAGTTTCTTTCTCATCTTTTCCAAAGTCTTTTTCATTCTCTTTCTCTCCCAGTAGTGGAGATTTCCATTTAGTTTCTGGTTCTTTCTAAAGTCTTTTTCATTCTCTTTCTCTCCCAGTCGTGGAGATTTCCATTTAGTTTCTGGTTCTTTCTTTATTACATCATTCTCTTTCTCTCCCAGTAGTGGAGATTTCCATTTAGTTTCTGGTTCTTTTTTCTTTTTCATTCTCTTTCTCTCCCAGTCGTGGAGATTTCCATTTAGTTTCTGGTTCTTTCTAAAGTCTTTTATCTATTCTCTTTCATTTCCCAGTTTATATTTCTAAATTTTCATTTAGTTTCTCCCAGTTCTTTTTAAAAGTCTTTTTTAAATTTTTTTCTCTTTTCTCTCCCAGTGATGGAGATTTCCATTTAGGTTTTTTTAAAGTCTTTTTTAATTCTTTCTTTAGTAGTGGAAATTTTTTATATTTCTAGTTTTTTTAAAGTCTTTTTTTCTCTATATATCCCATAATTGGAGATTTCCATTTAGTTTCTGGTTCTTTCTAAAGTCTTTTTCATTCTCTTTCTCTCCCAGTAGTGGAGATTTCCATTTAGTTTCTGGTTCTTTCTAAAGTCTTTTTCATTCTCTTTCTCTCCCAGTAGTGGAGATTTCCATTTAGTTTCTGGTTCTTTCTAAAGTCTTTTTCATTCTCTTTCTCTCCCAGTAGTGGATATTTCCCCTTAGTTTCTGGTTCTTTCTAAAGTCTTTTCATTCTCTTTCTCTCCCATAGTGGAGATTTCCATTTAGTTTCTGGTTCTTTCTAAAGTCTTTTTCATTCTTTTCTCTCCAGTAGTGGAGATTTCCATTTAGTTTCTGGTTCTTTCTAAAGTCTTTTTCAGATTTTTTTCTCCCAGTAGTGAAATTATCGTCTTGCTTATATGCAAATTGATTAATATATATATATATATATATATATATATATATATATATATATATATAATCGACTCTCCCGTCGAGATTCGACGTATGAGGGTCAAGCAGATCAGTTTCCAGGAAACCGACAACCCGACACCGGCACATGAGATTTGATTATAGTGGTGAAGGCTTCGTGCAGTACCATCCACACTTTTTGAAGGGACGAATACAGAGACTTGGTGCACTGAATGCCACCATGTTCCCAAACGACCCTTCCGCAGGTTTTGAATTCAGAGTTGCCCTTCTCCTAGACCAGTTGCCATCCAAGGCTATAGAACCCAGTCTGTCCTGCTATTTTACCCATAGCTGGATAAAATATGCGGATGTATATGTATCATTCACAGCATTTTACATGTTACCAAGAAAACCGAAGAATCTATCGGCCGAGAACTTGAGATGAAAAACAAAAAAGCTGAAAATCCTTTTTTTTTTTGCAGTTTAGCTAACTCCGAAGTTAAGCTTATAATTTCGCAAGAAATGTAAAAAATAGTCTTGGAACTAAAAAAAAAATATATATATATATATAACTCTGGGAGGCTTGCGTGATTGTGTTAAAAGCAAAACTGAATGCTTTCGGCTATTCACAAAAGCAGGTAATTTACATGATTAATATCTGTAATTTTGTACGTACCTCCGGGCTATAATTTTTAGTTTTGCCAGGAGAGCCATTTAAAGAAGAAAGTGGTGGCTTCGCGGATATATAGCAAGTATTCTTTCGTAAATACTTTAACACTGTAGACTTCCTGTGGAGCACAGGGTTACCAAGACTACTTGTTTCTGTAGCAATTACGTATATTTTTTTACACTAGAGTTCATCAAATGGGCTCAAGAGCCACTCAAAGTAGAGGGTTACTCTTAAAACGTTAATGCTGAAGAAGATGTGTTATATGAGTTGAAAAGGAGGTGGTAAGAAGTGAAACGATATAACGATGAGCAGGACAAATAATGACAGACCCTTGATTTGGAGTGGTCAGTTCGGGGAAGCACCCAAGCGTGAATGTGTTTTCCTAAGTAGCAGTTCTCACATAAAAGAAAAGCTGTTTGAATTTAACATTTTGTTTTACATTTGCGATAGGGAGGAAATGATAGGGATTCAACTCTGTAGAAGTCGTTTAGCGAGTCCTAGATGTAAAGGTCTGAACTGGTAGACCTAAAGAATGGAGATCCCCTTTAATACATGCCATATACGTCCCAGAAATACCTATCAGAGTCTGTTAATATCTATCTATTACAGTCTGTTCATTATCTATCTATCTATCTATCTGATATAATGGAATACGTGTACACCTGTGTTCCCCCTCACTGGAATATGATTGGCTGGTGCCCGTCATAAATACCGACGGACGTGTAGGAGAGTCAAAGAGCCTTAGTCTGAGAGCTAAGTCTATAACGACGCCCATTGGACTACGCCATTGATCTACACTTCTTACCTGTGACTAGGACGCGTACCAGTCGATTACTACTACCATATTATAGTATTTGATTATAGTATCCAAATCTATCTCTATCTATCTAAAAATTTTGTTCAAATATATCCCTTTCCTTTATAGATTTGAGATAAAAATACTATCTTATCTATCTATCTATCTCTATCTATCTATCTATCTATTCTATCTATCTATCTATATCTTATCAGTCTGTTAATATCTATCTATCTATCTATCTATATCTATCTATCAAATATATGGATATATATCCTATCTACATCTATGTCTATCTATGTAAATATATGAAAAAAAAATATACGGAAAAAACAAACAAAATCCTTCTATCTTTCTATCTATCTATCTATCTATCTATCTATCTATCTATCTATCTATTACAGTCTGTCCATTATCTATCTATCTATCTATCTGCCAGTCTGTTAATATCTATCTATCTATCTATCTATCTATCTATCTATCTATCTATCTATTACAGTCTGTCCATTATCTATCTATCTATCTATCTATCTATCTATCTATGTAAGCAAATATATGGATATAGATCCGACAGTATGAAGAAAAATATATACGGAAAAAACAAACAAAATCCTTATCTATCTATCTATCTATCTATCTATCTATCTATCTATCTATCTATTAGGAAAAGAGAGAAAATTTCTTCGTGTGACTTGTTTTGTCCTTTAGGTCTTCATCGAACCAAAGTGAAAAAACGGGAAACGGGACGTGGAAATCTTAAATTGACTCATTATAAATATGTATTTGGTTATTCAGTCCAACGAATTTAATTCAGATTCTTTTTCTTTGTGATTTTATCACTGCTGTTATTAAACACCCCACAAATGTGATAAATTTACGTCTAGGTTCTTACAGCATTTCATGGCAGAACTTCTATTACCACATTGACAAAAGGTAAACATATCTTAGCCGAAGCCTTTCGTCCTCTCACGGGATAATCAAATGATAAAGGCAAATACGTTTGCCTTGACGAATTCAACCAGACGAATAAGCGAGTCGCCTAAGATAAGTATTTCCTTTGTCTTTATTCATATATATATATATATATATATATATATATATATATATATATATATATATATTCATACACGTTTTATTAAATAATATAGACAAGTGTTGTCTTATTTATTTTATGTAAATGTTTTTCATAACGTCTGATAAGTTTAATTATCGTTGAACGAAGAAAGAAATTCACAATATTGATCCATATTTTTTTTAATACAATCTAAGCTTTCGGCTTACATAAGCCATTATCAAAGATGTCAAAAAACAACAACAACATATTAAACAATATACGGACAAGACAGTGATGATAGTCTGTCATTGTTTAAATAGATCATTTCTAAAGAACGATAAACACGTGCATATAAGACGCTAGAAGCGAAAATCGTCTTGCATCTCATGACGTCACACATGACCACACGTGAGTGAATTGGAGAAGAATGAAGTATGGGAAGCTGTTGGTATAAACCAATGGCTTCTGTTACCAATTATAGACATTTAAGAATATTTGTAGAGATGCCATAATCGATTTTGTTTAGGTTGGGTTTCAACTGTTTGATGTATAATGCTTCAAGTATTTTTAGTTTTTTTCTATTGTTTTCATGTCGAAGTATAATTGTGTTTTTTCGACAAGTATTTTACGGAATTGTGTGAATTAAATGTTGTTTTAAATGCCTAAAATGTTATATTTTCATTCAAATATATATATATATATATATATATATATATATATATATATATATATATATATATAGGCACATCAGGCTATATTTATATATTCTATATTGATACAGGTTCGAAGATATCTGGGAGATTAAAAAGAAAAAAACAAATCACACCAAAAATATCATGGAAAATAAGGAAAACAATATCAGTAAATCCCAAAACTGTTAACTCACTTTGGAAAATAAAATAACTTTCCGGACCAACAGACATTATTACTAAATAAACGATCAGAACTCAAAGTGCAGACACAAAAACAATTTTTATTATGTTACTTAAAATTGAAAACTAACAACAAACAAGAATGAGAAAAAATAAAAAATAATAAAAATAAATAAAAAATAAACAAAAAAATTAATCCAAACCATTAATAAAGTAAATAAATTAAGTAAAAGTAATCATATTAACAAACCACAGATGCTCATTTAAACACAACTAAATTTAATAATAACTACCAGCAATAAAATTATAATTAACAAATAAAAAAAATTAACAAGCAACACCATAATGCCAAATGCTGCATCCAGATCCATATTTATTTCCACTCAATTGCCCCTACAATAATTCGAAACATAACCGTTACCGCCCATCAAAATAACCGCTAGATCAACACAATAGCCTAACCATAATGCATTGCTAACCTGTATATATAAATAGACGATATAAAAATAATCGAGCAAAAGCAAAACGTATATTATCTGACGATTGCGTTCAAGACTGTCGCCTCAAGGCATTGACTTCAATGTTCACTTATATATTGACATACACTATATCCCTGAGCTCTTTAACCCATATAAATATAGCATACCTTAAAACTATAATTTTCTATCTCTCTCTCTCTCTCTCTATATATATATATATATATATATATATATATATATATATATATATATATATATATATAGACACACACATATATATGTGTATGTTAAAATATTAGAAAATAAAATTTAATCATGTTTTTTTTTTTATCGACTGAACACAACAGCAGATACGCAAAATATGGTATAGAGGCTACCAATTTCTGGAATCATTAGAGTAAACACACGACACACACACACAATAAATAAACAAACGCACAATCATTTCATATATATATATATATATATATATATATATATATATATATATATATATATATATGTGTGTGTGTGTGTATGTGTTAAGTATTTACCTTCATCTATCTGTTGTTGTTCAGTCGAACGATAGTATTATAAACATGATTCTAGATACAAGTTTCTAATATTTTAGCATTTCCGTTTAAAGCCTTTCATAATGGTGGAAGTCGCTAATCATTTTTGTTTTAATTAATCTCCATGGGCTGAGCTTTTGCTCTTTCAGCTACTAATGAAAGGTGATCAAATTTGATCTGTCAAATCGCGTTGGAGAAACGGGATAATCTCCGTTCAACATTTCTGTAGCGAAAATCTGATAAACAATTTCTTTTTGTCTGACGTCATTTCTTTTTTTTTTTTTCAACGTTCGTTCAATTTTTATCTTCTTCATTCATGCGCATTTAACACCTTATCGACTTAGGTTATTTGAACACTGAGATTAAATAACTTCCTCGTTCATTTTTGATTAGCTTTTTCTATATTATATTTATTTTTTATCACAATGTTCGAGTTAGAATGTCTTCTGACCGTTAAAAGTAGTCGCATGCAATCATAGAAAATATGTAGTCACAGAAGAGAGTCGAACTGGTAGTGTGTGTTTTTACATTAGAATTGGTAACGTGTGTTCTCAGGGTCGAACTGATAACGAGTTCTTTCAGAGTCGGACTGGTAAAGTGTATTCTCAGAGTCGAGCTGAAAATATGATCTCAGAGGCTAACTGGTAACGTATGTTCCCAGAGTCGAGGTGGTAACATATGTTATCAGAGTCGAACTGGTAACATGTGTTCTCAGAGTCGAACTGTTAATGTGCGTTCTCAGAGTCGAACTGGTAACTTGCTCTCAGAGTTAAACTGGTAACATGTCTTCACAGAGTCGAACTGGTATCGTGCTCTCAGTGCCGAACTGGTAACGTGCGTTCTCAGATTCAAACTGGTAACGTGCTCTCAGAGTTAAACTGGTAACATGTCTTCACAGAGTCGAACTGGTATCGTGCTCTCAGTACCGAACTGGTAACGTGCGTTCTCAGATTTAAACTGGTAACGTGCTCTCAGATTTAAACTGGTAACATGGCTTCACAGAGTCGAACTGGTATCATGCTCTCAGAGCCGAACTGGTAACATGTGTTCTCAGAGTCGAACTGGTAATGTGCGTTCTCAGAGTCGAATTGGTAACGTGCTCTTAGAGTTAAATTTATAACCTGTCTTCACAGAGCCCAACTGGTAACATGTGTTCTCAGAATTCACCTTAGATTAGCGATGTTTTAAACAATTCTGAATGACTGTATCATAGTCAGACATGGTTCAAATCCGGGGCAGGTGCGTAACCAACCAGAGGGAGCAATTCTGATTAGGGTCCCACGGGCAGTGCTTTGTGATCCTCATTATATTATCAACAGTTGCTTTTTTCGACCTACATTTATATACGTTACAAATGAAAATAATCACAGCTGACTATTAAAGAATGAAAAGCTCGCCGATTTTGACGTCATTCTGGGGTCTTTTTTTTTCTCGTTCAAATCCGTGAATTTTTTTTTGCTCATGCTAGCCCTTGAAAAAAAAGCACTGGATAAATTCACTATGTTTTAGTCACCCTGTTGAATGTATTAAATTATTCCACTTTTTTCAAGTTGATTTTAAAAGCACTCACAAAACATTGGTGATTTATTTAAGATGGAATGAGATATTATGGCATGTTTCTAATTTGTATTTATTTTCAATTTTTCTAGTTGAATTGTTCACCTATATTGCATATGATTGGTTTGGTTTGTTTTGTATTACGGTGTCGGAGTTACCTCCTCCTTAATTCCCTAATAATTCACTAGGGGTCACTCTCCCTATACTATAAATACTGGGTGACTTATCGACCCGTTCTCTTTTTTATTTCTTCATTTCAATTCTTTATCTGCAAATGTAAGCTCTCGTAAAAAAAAAACTGTCTTCCCATTTGTGGAAGACGCCATGAACATTATAAACACACACACACAAATAGATTAAAACGCGCGCATGTAAATATTAAAAACATTCACCAAAAATACAAACTCTTTACGTTCACTCACAAACACAAATGTTGATGTCTTTGTCAAAATTGTGAAGTTTGTTGTTTAATATATATATATATATATATATATATATATATATATATATATATAGAGATAGAGAGAGGGGGAGGCACGGTGGAGTAATGTATATGGCTTTATTGAGGAATCGCAGAGCCAAGTTCGAATTCCAGTCGATTCCATTACATTCACTTAACGTGCTAATACCCTTTGGAAAGGTATGAATCCTCTTCTTCTCCTCCAGCTATGGGTAAAATAGCAGGACAGACTGGGTTCTATAGCCTTGGATGGCAACTGGTCTAGGAGAAGGACAACTCTGAATTCAAAACCTGCAGAGGGTCGTTTGGGAACCTTGTGGCATGCATTCGGTGCACCAGGTCTCTGTATTCGTCCCTTCAAAAAGTGTGGATGGTCCTGCACGAAAATCTTCACCACTATAATCAAATCTCATGTGCCGGTGTCGGGCTGTCGGTTTCCTGGAAACTGATCTGCTTAACCCTCATACGTCGAATCTCGACGGGAGAGTCGATTATATATATATATATATATATTTCACTTTGTTTGTTTTCTTTACATTTCTTTATGGTTGATTCGAATTTCTAAATCCGCCATGTTCTGTTAGTGGACCTTCTAGCAGGAATAAGCAGAACGTGTTTCTAATTCAACAACACGTAAACACACACCGGTCCTCTACAACGGCATATCCTCAATAGGTTATTTAATGCCGACAAAATTTTTATTGCTGGTAATATTTTGTTTTATCAAAAAATCTATTTCTGGTAATATTTTTTTCCTCAAAAATGTATACCTGGTAATATTTTTTTTTCAAAAACGTATTGCTGGCAATAGTTTTTTTCTGGTATTAAAACCTATTTATACACTTTCATAGTGTTTTTACCACAGTTTGAGGGTTAACTATTTGCCCAAAACTGGGACCCTAGCAGGTGCTGCCATCCCGGGTCATGATGGACCTGGGAACACCAGCAATTAAGAAGTATTTTCATGCTCCTTAAAACCTCCAGTCTCCCGATTAGAGACATTGCTGCCGGTTGTAGTTTGTCGTTATACCCAGAACTACCGCAATTTTCTTTTTGTATCACCAACTACTATAGTTAGTCTTCATATTATCCCTTTTAGTTAAGTCTGTTTTTTGTTTTTTTATTGTTATGTTAATTTACCCATGCATGCATGGACTCTCCAAGCTATAAATAGGAGCAAGTACTGCCTTTTAGAGAGAGAAATGTCCAGCAGTCAGCTCTGACAGTCGGACCGAACATTCTTACTTTAACACTCTTGTTTGTATGTTTATATTTCTGTTTCTGTTAATATGTTTAACTCAATTCCTCTCTTTGTATCGTTATTCCTGGCCCCGAACAAGGCTACAACCATTATTTATTAATTGCTTTCTGTTATTTATCATTTAAATATATTTTATTAGAAGAGTAGCAATTGGTATACTTGACGACGATCCCTAGGCCCAGACGTCTAGTGTAAAAAACAAAATGTCTGGACTGTCGAAGTGAGATAGCACCTACGTGGGAGAAACCTTTGTGAGTACTTCGTCCGCGTTTGTTCACACCCGGCGCCCAACTGTAATCTGTGGCTTCGAATACAACAGCTGAAACATCCCGGTAAACCGCTTCGATTGGCGAAATAAGCAGGTGAGGGTAGACAACTGATTCACACCGTCGATAATTTCGCTTCTGCCAGCCGTACTATATATGACGTCTGATTTCTGGCGGACGGTTGATTGAGGTCTACGGATCCAACGGCTACGGATACGTTGTCAGCTAGTACCTGCATGGCCGTGACACGTAAAAGTCCTGGTCACCTGCTACAGCCTGGACGTCTCCGGATTCTACTCTTCCTCATGCTAGCGGATAAAGACATCTTAGGCCGAGAAAGTGGCATTCCATGATAAGATCTTCAGTCCGAAACGAGAACAATTTAAAAAAAAAAGTACCTCTAATGAGATCTCGTCTCCAATGTTTGTCATCCATTATACGTCCATGTAACATGAGATCTGCAGAGTATCTGTGCAAGGGTCTCGTGCCATTCATTAGAAAATATGATACAGCCTCACATTCTACTACATCTCAATTTTCATAAGGTAATATTCATATAAAATACCCTGATCATGGGTGGTAGAACCTCTTTGGGTCCCAGCTATGGACAAATAGTGATCTCCTAAAAAAACATGAATGTCTAAAAATACATTTTATAGTAAAGTTACCAATAATACATATTTAAAGCAAAATGATCAACAATACATTTTATCTGTATTTGAAAGCATACAATTGTGTTCAAACTATTTAGAATTCGGTATTAAATAACCTATTGAGATTGACATGCAGCTAAACTAAATCAACCAACCAACCAACCAGAAATAGCCTCATTCGAAATTCGAACTTTGTATGTTGATTCCGTTATCTGTGTTGATAACCATTGCGTCACTGCACTTTCTTTTAATATTCAATGGCATAATGGTTTCATTAGCTAAGCCGGTCATAGCCGGTCATACCACTGCTATGTAAAAGATATTATGCAACAGGGGGGAGCGAGGAAGGAGAGAATGTCTCCGGCACGGAACAGATACAACAACCGCAGCATCTACTCCGACGGGGGGTACTTCTCCTCCTCTGTCAATCCCTCCTGAAGAATCCGGCAGGCGGGGGGAGGGGGCTCTCTCTTCCCCCTTCAAAATGGTTATTTTCTAAGCGTAGCTTAGATGTGGCACAAGCCGAACGTATGGGGCACCTAACGAAGATCGAACTCACTTTACAGTTGTAACTGGTCTAGCGAGACGGGCTTGCCATCCATTACACCACACCGAGGAACTCTAAGGTTTTCTAAGCGTATCTTAGATGTAGCACACGGCCGAAAGTGTGGAGCACCCAGTGAGGATCGAACTCAAAACTCAGTGGTAATTCTAGCGAGGCAAGCTTGCTAACCATTATATCAAAGTGCCCCTTTCAGGCTCCCATCCTATATACTGGTGTCTATTTATTCTTCCGGTTTCGATTTGAGTTACTTCCTCTATTTATAGTAAAATGACCAACAATACATTTCATCGGTAGTTGAAGGCATATAATTGCGTTCATACTATTTAAATTTCGGTATTAAATAACCCATAAAGATGTTGATGTGCCACTAAACAAAATGGCCAATAATACATTTTATCTGTAGTTAAAGGCATACAACTGCGTTCAAAATATTTAGATTTCGGCGTTAAATAACCCATAAAGATGTTGATATGCCGCTAAAGAAAACGGCCAATAATACATTTTATCTGTAGTTGAAGGCATACAACTGCGTTCAAAATATTTAGATTTCGGCATTAAATAACCCATAAAGATGTTGATATGTCGCTAAACAAAATGGCCAATAATACATTTTATCTGTAGTTGAAGGCATACAACTGCGTTCAAAATATTTAGATTTCGGCATTAAATAACCCATAAAGATGTTGATATGCCGTTAAACAAACTCAACCAACCAACCAATATAAAAGAACTTTTTCATGACATATAATATCCTACAATTTCTTAAATCACACTGTATCCCAAAATATAACATCAACAAAACTACAATATAAAACACACATCTCTAGTGATCACGTCTACACAAACGTTTATATGTACAAAAGCTGAGTATCATTTACCATTCTTAGAGTTCTTAGGCTTGAAAACTCGACTTGTCCGCCGTAATTTACGGTAGGTACCTTCAAAGATTCGCTTAATGAAAAAATGCCCCACACTTATTAAAAACGAAGTTTTATCGTCAAAATGTTTATGTTATTATTAAGAGGAAAGACCAAATGATATTTTACATCCTTTTTAGAAACTTCAAAATTTTGGTCAAAGTTTTTTCTTGCGTCAGCGGGTTACCATAAATTAGTATATCAGATATTAGTGTCTTTTTGCGATGAAAAGCTCATTGATTTGAAAATTCTTGCAAAATTCAAATAATAGTCAAGTTTAAAGAAAACTTTCAGGTCTTATTCATAAATGAATAAACTTATTTTAGAAATGATTATTGTTTTCGAAAATCTTAGTAAACATTTTTTATTTGTTATCCCGTTTTATTTATCTTGAAATTTCGAGAAATTCATTTTTGTACGGCTTAACGTATATATCAATTCTAACTTTGATAGAAAACGTTGAGCTTCAATTTTAGAAGCTTTATTCTGCTAAGCTGAACTGTTAGTAATTAAACGGCTTTTATACAGAGTCTATTATTGAATGTAGGTCGGGATAGTTCATTATTATTCCAATAACAATAAGACCTTGGAAAATTTAAATCATCAAACATTATTTTTTTGTAAAACAGGACCCACGTTTCACGAAATTTTGCTCTGATTCATAAAATAAAGAATTCAATATAACTAAAACATTATATAATTAGAAAAGCTTTTAATGGCTTTTATGAAATAGATATATTATAGACAATATTGTCTTACGGTAAAATAATTTGTCGAAGTAGAATGAATTTTTAAAAGAATTGTTTTAATTTATTTTAAAAATGTCATTTTTATTGCATTAATCAGATCTATTTCTTTATTCTAATTTCAAGCAACATTAACGATCGGCGATTTTTCGATTTAGAAAGTTATGATAAAATAAAAGAAAAAAACACTTAAAAGTGAATCGAAAGGAAATAAAATTTATCCGAAACTGAAAATAAAAGTAGACATTTATTTATCAAAATAAAAAGCATAATTTGGGGCTACTATAGTGATATATGATATTTTCTACTATAGTATGACATCTACTGCCCATTTTCTACTATAGTATCATAGCTACTATTCATTTTCTACTATGGTATGATATCTACCATCCATTTTCTACTATAGTATGACATCTACCATCCATTTTCTACTATGGTATCATAGCTACTATTCATTTTCTACTATAGTATCATAGCTACTATTCATTTTCTACTATAGTATCATAGCTACTATTCATTTACTATAGTATGATATCTACCGCCCATTTTCTTCTATAGTATCATAGCTACTATTCACTTTCTACTATGGTATATATACAGCCCATGTTCTAATATAGTATGACATCTACCATCCATTTTCTTCTATGGTATGATAGTTACTATTCATTTTCTACTATGGCATGATATTTACCAGCTGTGGGGAATATGAAATATATTAGGATTAAGGTTAGGGTTATGGGTTAGGGTTAGGAATTATGGTTGGTTTTAAAAAAGGGGGTGAATCGTCAACTAGTTATGTATTAAAAATCATTAACAATTTTTTATACAAAAAAAAAATTGATTGTTATTTTGTCTCTGATAATGGATCTCAAGAGATTCCTGTCCATTGCATTGGATTCCCAGCTGTTGATATCAATTTCAATTCTTCACATTTTGTTTTAGAACGGTCTTGAATCTCTTCTTTTCAGATTTCTTTTTTTGAGTTGGGAGTACAAGATTTGCTTTGGTAGGTGGGTGTCATCCATTTGTTCCAGATATCCGCTCCATCAAAGTGTTTTTTTTTTTAATGACGATGGCTTCATTGATGGCCATTTTAGCTTGTTCTAGTCCGTTGACGTTAGTACTTCTGTCTTCACAACTGATGTTCAAGATATTTCAACATCTTTTTTCCTCTATTTCGGCTTATCTTTTAGATTCGAAGATTGTTGTTTTCTCTCTGACAATGGATCTCCAGAGATTCCTGTCCATTTCACTGGATTCCCAGCAGTTGATATCAGTTTCAATTCTTCACATTTTGTTTTAGAACTGTCTTGAATTTCTTCTTTTTGACCTCCTCTTTTCAGATTTCTTTCTTTGAGTTGGGAGTAAAAGATTAGCTTTGGTAGGTGGGTGTCATCCATTTGCTCCAGATGTCTGCCCCATCAAAGTTGATTTTTTTTTATGATGACAGTAGTCCACATATAAATAATGATAATTCCTCATTCCAGAAATTCAAACAGAATTAACAGAACTATGCTATTTGAGACTAAGCCCTAAAGTATTTAGCCCTTTTGAATATCTCTATAACTTGGGCAAGGAATCAGAGAAAACCTTATTGAACAAGCATGAATAGATACTCTCTTGAAGAATTACTCTGACAGCTGTGTTACTATCATATTTACAATTATATATTGTGCATAACTTTTTGGCAAAACATTTTCTATATCTGTTAGCATCACCAATCTCCAGAGTTGGCCTCCTGTGGTTTGTAGCTTTTCCCCTAAACTAAAATACAGTTGAAAGGAAAATTTGGGCTACTATAGTATAATATCTACTGTCCATTTTTCTACTATAGTATGATATCTACCGTCCATCTTCTACTATAATATAATATCTACTGTCCATTTTCTACTATAGTATAATATCTAGTGTCCATTTTCTACTATAGTATAATATCTACCGACCATTTTTCTACTATAGTATGATACCTACTATTCATTTTCTACTATGGTATGATATTTACCAACTGTTAGAAGTAAGAAATGGGTTACGTTTAGGTTTAGTTTAGGGTTAGGGGTTAGGGTTAGCGGTTAGAGGTAGAGGTTACGGTTAGAGGCTAGGGTTAGAGGTTAGGGTTGGAGTTAGGTGTTATTGTGTTATATTTTTGGTTTGGTTTAGATGTTAGGGTTAGGAGTCAGGGATTAGGGGTAGGTTTAGAGTTTAGAGTTAGGGGTTACGAGCTAGGGTTAGGGTTAGGGTTGGAGGTTAAGGTTAGGTCTTAGGGGTTTGTTTTAGAGTTAGGTGTTAGAGTTAGGGGTTTAGGTTAAATGCAGTGAACAGGTTATGTATTAAAAATCATTTTTATACAAATTTTTATAGACCACCAAATTTTACTATTTTTCTCCAAAGTAAGTAATAACGATAGTGAACACACAGTCAAAAATTACATTTATTACAAAAACCAAATGCACATTAACTACAAACAAGACGAATCTTCACTAAGAAATATTATCAAGAAATACACTACCCCAATTGGCCCGAATAAAAACTCAAATTAATTATCTATTATAAAAAATTTAAGACAGTTAACCTTATCCTCAAAAATAACAACACACCAGCTAAATCAAAATTACAAAGAACGAACATTATCTATGAGTTCAAATGCCCCTTAAGGAACTGTGTTCTTGATCAAACCGGACTCATAAATAATTACACCGGTTACACAACTACATGCTTATCCAGACGTCTTACGTTACACCTATCTGATCACAGCTCCATTAGAACCCATTTAAACACACACACACACATTTACCAGACTCCATTAGGAACATACTAGTAGAAAACACACTGCATCCACCTGTAGAAAATGATTAAAAATAATGGAAGGTTTAATAATAAAAAAGAAAAGGCTAACTCTTAACAACATTAACTAAGAACAAAGCCACAATGTGCTAACCGTATTCGGATATTAAAACATCCCCACAACACAATAAAACATACATATAATGTACACACTCAATTAATCTGAAAAATCGAATCATCCTTGAAAATGGCTAACGGTATAGCCGAAAGCGCTCGGAACTATAAAACATTTGCACAGTATTTACCCACTCTTTGTCCAGAAAAGAAAGCAAAGAAAAATTAAATAAAAAGCTTAACCTTACCTTGTACGTTGTCTGTCGTTTTAATGAAACATGCATAAACGAAGGATTGCTGCCAATATATATATATATATATATATATATATATATATATATATATATGTGTGTGTGTGTGTGTGTTTGAGTATTTATAGGCACATGAATGACAAGGCAAAACTTATTAGTGGTGTGTTTCGTTCCGAGAAGGAACTTCTTCAGGCTAAAAGAGGGTTTATTGTTAGAATCAATCTTATACATACATAGGTAAGGAGGAGATGTTGGGAAAAATACAACAACACGCCGGTTACAACTTATATTGAAACGTTAAACTATAACCGGCGCTTGTTAGAATTTTCTCACCATTTTCCGCCACTTTGTATACGTAAGATTGATTCCATCAATAAAAAACGTTTTTGGCCAGAAGACATTTTTTTCAGAACGAAAAGCGTTACTAATAAGTTTTTTCCATCTTTATAATTTCTTTACTCACCATTATTCTTATATATATATATATATATTTATATATATATATATATATATATATATATATATATATATATATATATATATATATATATGTGTGTGTGTGTGTGTGTGTGTGTGTATGTATATTAGGCAGCAGTCCAGCTTTAATATATGTTTTGTTCAGCAGGAACGACAACCTAATTTTTTATTATATATATATATATATATATATATATATATATATATATATATATATATATATATATATATGTGTGTGTTTGTGCGTGTGTATTATGGCAACAGTCCAGCTTTAATACATGTTTTGTTAAGTAGGAACGACAACCTAATTTTTGATTTATATATTGTTGTGTATGATACACCTAATTTACATAAGCGGACTACCGACCATATAAATATGGGTTGGTACCGGAAGACGGGGAAGATAGTAGAGATTAAGAAATTGAATCCAGAGACTCTGCCCGACTGCGATTTAGTCAACCCATTATGCAGGAACAGTCTTCCCAAGAATATACCAAACTAACTGTAAATATTGTGTACCTATTCTTTGTTTCAATACATTTTGTTAACGTACATTTTGTGTTGTATTATTCCATGCTTATTTAAGCTTCAACATATATATATATATATATATATATATATATATATGTGTGTGTGTGTGTGTGTGTGTGTGTGTGTGTTAGGGCAGCAGTCCAGCTTTAATACATGTTTTCTTAAGCAGTCGGCGCACAGTAGGAATGAAGGTGGATTTTTAGCGTATTTATTTTTAGAAACATGCACAGTGACCGACAGTGACTCAATTCGCTTTCGCGAAGAGTCTAGCTATATAGCTATAATTGTCACTGTTTACCAACCCACACCTATATGTATGTGTGTGTGTGTATAGGGCAACAGTCCAGCTTTAATACATGTTTTGTTTAGCAGGAACGACAACCTAATTTTTGTATTATATATATATATATATATATATATATATATATATATATATATATGTGTGTGTGTGTGTGTGTGTGTATATTAGCAACAGTCCAGCTTTAATACATGTTTTGTTAAGCAGGAACGACAACCCAATTTTTGTATTATATTCTTTGGTATGAGAGCTGGTATTTTCTTTTCAGGACCTAATGGGCGTGGAAATTGTTCAAATGTTTAGTGATTTCGACCGCATTTGGCTAAACTGTTAGCCATTTTCATGGATTTTAGCTATACTATTAGGTCCTTGAATAAGTTCTCGCTGAATTGTCATGAATAGTAATGTTTTATTTACAGAGATTAGTGAGAAACATGTCCATTACATTTTCCTATCTTTCTGCCAGCATTTGAATTCCATATCGGAAAAACGACACGTCTTTTGAGACTAACCAGGAGTCAACCAATTTTTTGGAATCTTCATAAGAATGATAGTGCTGCTCAGCCAGGCTATGTGCCATCAATCTGAACAAGCGATAATCGGACGGGGTAATGCCTAGTGAATACGGAGGGTGGGGTAGAACGTCTCATTTAAGTGTTTCCAAGTCGGTTTTCACCCGTTTTGCAGCATGTGGCCTAGCGTTGACATGTTTCAAAATCACTTCGTCGTGTCTCTGCTCATATAGTGGCCGTTTTTTCTTCAATGCTCGGATCAAAAACATCAATTGTAACCGATAGCGATCTGCCGTTATGGTTTCCGTCTGTTTGAGCAGCTCAGAATAAAAAACAATCAGCTGATCCCACCAAATGTAGAGCAGACGCTTTGAACTATGGATATTCGGCTTTTCTGTTGATGTTGATGCATGGCCAGGTCACTCCATGATCTTCTACGCTTAGGGTTATCGTAGTGTATCCACTTTTCATCGCCGGCCACCTTTCCTTTTCTGCCGTTGAAGCAGCTGTTTACACGTCACAAGACACCGTTCAACCTCTCTCGGCTTCAACTAATACGTCACCCAATGTCCTTGCTTTTGAATCATTCCTAGTGCTTTCAAACGTTTCGAAACTATTGGTGATCAACTACTAATGATTCTGCAAGTCCAGCTTGTGCCTGGCATGAGTCTTCAGAAAGTAATGCCGCCAATTCTTCGTCTTCAAACTTTTTCCGGTGCGCCAGAGAATTCTATATCTTCGGCATCAAATCGTTATTTTTGAAGCATTTAAACCAATCTTTACATCTTGTTTCCGACAGAGCACGGTCGCTGTAAGTTTCAACAAGAATTCTGTGTGGTTCATCTGCAGATTTCTTTTGAATAAAGTGGTGCAGTAAATTCCACGAAAACACACTTTCCTTGGCACGAAATTCGACATGTTTTATGAAAAACTTTTCGGCGAAATGATATACACTGAATTTCAAGCTAGCATGTAGTACTTGCTTATAGATACGTTACCATCTGAAACTACAAACACGCAGTTCTGGGAACGCCATCTATTGGAAAACAGTGAGAACTTAATGGTCCTAATACTATAAGAAATGGTGTATAAATACCATAATAAATTATGTATAAGTGCTAAAAAGTTAATGAAAATTAGTCATATACTTAACTTCCGAATACGACTAGTATATTGTGGCCGTATTCATAATGTAGTTATTATTAATATCAGTTATGAACACGGCCACAAGCCATCGTTGGCCTCGGGCATCATTTCTAAATTAGACTCCCATAAGGCAAGTGGAGGCGACGGGATGCCAGCCATCGCCGTAAAGAAATGTGCTCCTGAGCTAGCGCCAGTTCTCACGAAACTATACAACTATTGCCTCAAAGCTTCCTTGTTTCCAACCACTTGGAAGT